CCCCACAAATAAAATGCACATGAACTGTGCCCTCTAAAGATACAGTCCTTTACACAGCATTGCATATCCTCTGAAACACACCTAATGCTCAAGTGCAGTAGAAGACACAAAACATATAAGCATGCTTCGGTAGACACAGACGTCACACAGAACATGTCACCTCTAAATGCAGCCTCACAGCCTCACCTGCTTCTTTCCAATATGTTCTTCCAAGCTTCAAGTCCTTAACATTGATTATTTTTGGAGGCAATATGCAATTTTCAGAGTCCTGGCTGCATTCATTTGCCTCATTGTTTTTTCCTTATTGGTTGATTTATTCATGTATTTATTAATGTATTTATTTATTCATTCATGTGTTTATTCCCCACCATGTTCCAAGATGGATGTCAGGTGGCTTACAAGAATACACAAAATACAACATGATAGCATAAATTCAAAGCAGATATAAAAGTAAAAGGAAAAAACAAAAACAATAAAAATAGGAACATGAAATGGAGCCTGGCAGAAAGCTAATACAAAGTGCATACATACCGTAGAGTCCCATTACAAGTGCTATGCATTGACCACACATTTGGCTCCAAGCTTTCTAGCAGCCAACAAAAGAGAAACCTGATCAGTCCCAGATTTCACAGGGCCCATAAAATAAAATCAATGTATATGGTTAGGATGTCTCTTTCCTGGTCTAAATCCTGAAAACTTTTCTACAGTAAAGTATCATAAAATGGTGGCAAACTGTCCCTCCTAAATTGCTCTAACACCAAAATTCAGCTTCTGGAACAGTCACCAACAAAATAAATCCTCAATCTTAAAATTACATCTACTATTTCTTTTTCTTCCTTCTACCTGTCTCTTGAAGTTCCATTTAGTCAATGAAATGTAGCTATTAAAAGGACTTCTTCAAAAACAAGCAAACAAACAAACAACAAAAAATCCTCTGCTGTCACCAAAGCAAATATTTTCAGTTAGGTAATGAAATAGACATCCTGAAATTACAATGGCCAAATTTGGAAAAACCCTCAAATATCCAACAAAAGAAAATGGTTAACTAAACCATCATGTCGTCCTATGATGAAACATTATACACCATTGAAAATGATATTTACAAATACTTCACATAAATGTAGGAAAATATTCATGATAAAAATGCTAAGTATAAAAGCAACAAAACTATATGCATTATGACTTTTTCTATGTAAAAATTATATATGTGCATACATAGCCATAGAAAAAGTCTGGAAATAAATCCATCAAAATATTAACATTGCTTCTAGGATTTGTGATTATGGGTGATTTTATTTTTTTCTATATGCTTATCGTTATTTTCCAAGTTTTTGACGTTGATGAACAATTTATGATGAGACCAAGAGGTACTAAAAAGAAAAATAGCAACTTAGTTACCTCTGGCTTGTAAAATTATAGGCACATTTAATTTTCTTTTTAAAATTTTCTATAATTGACATAAAAAATGGGAGGAAGTTACTTTTAAAAAATAAAAGATTTCAAAAACCTAGTTTTCTCAGTTGTTCATCGATAAGGTCCAAAATGCTACAAATACAATGATATTATGGTTATTCAGCACTTCCTAATTTTACTTTTAATAGCCATCTGGTACTTATAATTATATTCAATTATCACTAATATTGTGATATTTGTGCCAGGTATTACTATCCTCACTTAACAGGTGATGAAACTGAGGCTCAGAGAAACCAAGTGACTGGCCCAATGTCACAATAATCAGTGGCAGAGCTGAACATGAACCCAGGTCTCAAGAACCCAGGTCCAGTGCTCCTTCCATTAGTTCAAGACTGACTGTGATTAAGCAGTTACTAAGAGATAGGAACACAGAAATAGTAATCCCTCTTTCCCCATGAGAGTCAGGTTCCTGAACAACCCCCAAGGTAAGAGAGTTCAGCTGAGGAGATCATGATATCGGGAAGGAAAAAAATGAGCAAAAATGAGGTCTCAAGTAAACTGTTGAAAACCCTCATATTTTTATGCAGGCAAACAATAACAACAGCACATTACATAAAAAGAATAATGAGTTTACACAGTTTAAATCAGCAAAAATGATAGGCTTTATACAGTTTCCATTTAGATCCTGAGATGATTTCCAGTGGTGATGAGGATGTATCTATCACTCATTATGGTAGTGGCAAATGGGGGTGACAGAGAAGCAATGAACAGAAGTGGACTATTCATTTAGTTCAAATTATGGATATCTATACTCTTAGAGTCAGTAAAGTCGAATCCTGAAGTTATAACAACTTGCTTGAGGCTTTATTTCTATCAAGCAAGTGAATTTAAGTGGCCCTTCTAAAGATGCTTTTGTCTTCTCAAGTCCTTTTTGAAGACACCTTAGCAGTTCTGTATGGAGCTCAATTTAATCATTCAATCTTTGTCTGAAGGTAGCTTATTAGCTGTCCAGTAAGAGTATTTAAATGGTACTACTTGATAATTTAGGCTTTTCTGAGGTTTCTTTCTTCCCAATGTAGTCTTTTCAAAAGTCTCATAGGACCTTTTAATAGAGTCTAATTAAATCAAACTTTGTCTGAAGGTAGTTTTTTCAGCTGTCCAGCAACAGTATTGAATGGCACATGATTTAAGTTCTATTGAAGATTGTTTCTGTCCAATATGATTATGTTTGAAGGCATCATAGCACCTCTTTATAGAATTGTAAGTCACTCAAGCTTTGAACAGGTAATATTTGACACATGTAAAGATGTCCATTTTAATTACCTTCTTAGGGAGGTTTTAATCTTGTTCTAAAAATGTTGCTCCTGTTTCTTATAGCTGTATTTGTTTCCAGTCTCACAGCCTCCTAATTGTCTTCATCATCACTTATGATAATCATCTCTGGAGTCAACAAAGCTTCCTGAGGATCAGCCTCTAGCAGCATTAACTTGAATTAGTGTCAACAGGCTCAGATTCAACTTCCGCCAATGATTGCTCTTGTGCCAAATTTTCATCCTCATTCATAGGTTTTTCTTGTCTTTGGGAGGGATAGAGGAAAGATATTTCACCACCTCTAGCCAAGTCTTCTCACAGGTCACATTAATGACAGGCTCTGTTAAACTATCTAATGCCTCTTTGGGAAGTTACCTCCTGAAAACCCATTAAAAATCAACAGCCAAACCTTTATTAAGGATATGCCATTATAATGATGTAGGAGTCTCATGCACTAGGATCTTCAGACAGTGGAAACTTCGCGAGATTGTGAAGTTACACATTAGTTTATAATAAGCCTTCCTGAATAGCCAGATCAAACACTGACTGAAAGGCTCAAGAATCTGAGACATGTGGCTAGTTATAAAGACAATCTTACCATTAGGATGCACATTGGCAAATGTACATGAAACACCAAATAGACTGAAGAATTAGCAGGACTTTGAATTCAAGGTATTTTTCTTTTTTTTTTAAGTAGTCTTGAACATCCACAAGAAAGTACTGTTCAAACCATCCCTTAAGGAGAGGAGGATTCATCCAAGCTTTTCTATTTGCTTGCCAGTACGCTGGAAACTTGGCTCATTTATTTCCCCTGAGAGGGTTTAGGCACAGTTTTCTGTAGAGCAGCAAGGGTTTCATTATGAGGTCACCTGAAGTATTGGCAAAAAATGGAAATGTCAGTCTCTCTGATTTTGCTGACCTCAGCATCAGTGGGCTCTTGCTCTTCAGAAGTATTCAAAGGGTTCCAAAGCTTGAGAGTCTCGATAGCACTAAAGATTTGTGCAGGCACGTAATCCCCTTCTTCAGCCACTTCCTGAATTTGTGGTGAATACAACATGAGAGCTGCAGGAACGGTTTGTTCTTTGGCACAACCGCCAAATAAGACCTGGTCTCCACATTATGGTGCACCTTAAATTCCTCAAACCATCCCTTACTCCCAACAAAAATTTTTCTGGATTCATTTCAGTGTCTAAAAACATGTCTTTGAAAACTCCTCTTGCATGGTCACAGATCTCTTGCATTGAATGTGTTTCATTATTCTTCGGTTTATCTTCAATCCAGAGGTTTAACTTCATTTCCATCTTTTCCATCCTTGGGTCATGAAGAACAAAGCATCTTTTAAGTTATGTAGGTGTACAAGTGGCAGTACTGGCCATACTAATAGTTTTAGTTTTCTTTATGGTAAGAATTGTAGATTGATTAACAGTATATGTGACCTACAAAGCTATTTATTTTACCTTGAAGAAGCAGATTGAGAATGTCCTGTTTCTCTTCTAAAGACATCACCCTTCTTGCCCTCTGACAACTTTCCATGGTGTCAGTGCCCTTGTACTTGCTTCATATCTGTAGAAGCCATGTTTCAGCTTTATGCTAATTAATGCAACCTGAAAGTTACTTACTAGAGATTTCATATCCCCGCTTATCACAAAGCGTTAGCATATGATATTTAAGCACCAAATGGTATTCTAAACACCAGAAGGATAAATAATAATATATTGGTGTGCTACTCAGTGCACATGGGGCTATCTAGGGGACAATAGCTTGAAGAATGAGAATGGAAACAAATGACTTAGAAATGCCTTCCCACTTACAATATAGTCAGAGAGACAATATTGTGGCAATGTGGACTGATTCCCATATACTGAATTCAAAATTTTCAGTTACCAAAAAGGTATACAGAAGTAAACCTATACCCAAATTTCCAAAAAGAACAACTTACAATTAGGGAGGGATTATTGTAAATTGTACTCTACATTATCAGAAAGAAAGTCACTGTTGATATATTCAAGACAGTACTGTTGCTTTGATTACCCTTGGCTTAACACTATGAATTTAATTTTATGTGAAAGGAAAACACAGTGTAAATGTATTTTCTGCCAGCCCACAGTAAACCAATCAAACATTATTCTCAGACAAAATGCAACCTCTGAAGATGTAGATGTAAAGGTCAGGCAGGCCCTGAACAGTCAATCCTCAAGAAACAACTACCTAAGAAAGAAAGTGAAAATGAAAGAATAAACTAGCCCATTTTCAATGCCCGGCCACTGATACTTTACTTTTATCCCCTCCTCCTGGGAAGATAGAGCGAAGCCTGGCTTTCTTATTCTTCTCTTCAGGGGCCATGGGAAGTGGTTTGGAGCTGTGGTTGAGTGCTGAAGAATCCCGGTTGTTACTATTCATCCTCAGTGGGGGAGCTGGGGGTTTCTCTTCATTATCCAGACCGTCAGACATTTTCAGTTACAACCAATTTCACAGCTCCTAAAGAAAAGGAGGGAAAAAACAGGAGTTGAGGGAGAAGAGGTCTAAAAACAATCTAATAAATATGGGGATTCTAACATCTTAGAAACAAAAGCATTGTTCTCATGTTTTCTCAGGTTTCGTGTGAGGATCGATTTTAGGGGTTTCTCTTCTGGAGGGAAGGAAGTTACCTCCCAAAAACCCTGATGCAATTTTCAAAAAAGGAAAGTGAAGGCAGTGATTAATGACTTTCTAAATATTATAAAAACACATAAGTCCCTTTGCTTTTCCCGCATTGAAACTCTATTTTCTCCTCCCCACTACCAGTGTTTTAGTGAACAATTTACAATCTTATTTTAAAATTCTATCCTGATGATTGTAATGGTCAGGTGATCAGCCTCCTCAGAGTTTAGAATTGACACAGGTTTGGCTGTTGATTTTTAATGGCCCATAACAGTGACTTGTTAGCTGCTTTAACAGCGAGCTGTCCTTGGTGTTTATTTCTTACATGTGCATACCTCAGTTACAAAATGCACTCTCCTGTTTTTAATGATAATTAACTGAGAAACCATCCCATAGATCTGGCAGTTTCAGCAGAGTTGGAGTGGCTGTTAGGGTAAACAATGTTCCATATTCTCCCAAGCAGGCAGAAGATAAAGGTGGGCAAATGTCAGAGGGCCAGTTCCCGAGGAGACACCATAACCTTACTCCCTGCCACATTTTACGTCTTGGGAGAAGGGACAAGGGAGGTGACAGAGGTAGCTAGCTGTAAGATCCAGTCTGGGTTTTAGGAGCTTATTTGCTCTTAATTTCATTATTCTTTTTTTTTTTTTTTTTTTTTTGAGACGGAGTCTCACTCTGTCGCCCAGGCTGGAGTGCAGTGGCGTGATCTCAGTTCACTGCAAGCTCTGCCTCCCGGGATCACACCATTCTCCTGTCTCAGTCTCCTGAGTAGCTGGGACTACAGGCGCCCGCCACCATGCCTAGCTTCTTTTTTTTTTTTTGTATTTTTAGTAGAGACAGGGTTTCACCGTGTTAGCCAGGATGGTCTTGATCTCCTGACCTCATGAGCCACCTGCCTCAGCCTCCCAAAGTGCTGGGATTACAGGCGTGAGACACTGCGCCTGGCCAAGTTCATTGTTCTTTAGTATCTTGTGTCTACGTCTGAGTATATTCGGTTTTCATTCCCCCGGGAGGATAAAGTAAACTGGAAAAGCATGGACTCCCCCAAGGAAATGTTTCTGTCTCCAGGTATTTTCCTACTCTAATTAAAGTCCTTCCATAAGGTCCTGACCCCAGCATAAGTCAGGTACTAATAGTACCTTCCAAATGAATCCCCAGTTTGAATTCAAGGAAAATCAAATCCCTTTAAAACTACATCTCTGTAAGTTTATCAAGTATTACCTGGTACTAACTTAGGAACATAATAACTCTCCAAATATGACTTAGCATATCACTTTGTTCCAACAACATTTACTATGAACAAACCTAAGAACAATAAAAACAAGACAGGGGTCTACTCATTAACTGTTGTGCTGAAAAATTATCTATCAATCCTTTCTGGCCCTTTAGTGGTTACAATGTGTTTATTACTCTCAGTAATGCACTCTAATTTACATCATGTTATGTAGAGAATTTCAAAATTTCTATTTTGCTCTAAATTCTCTCAAATATATATAGTCTGTAACTACTCAAGAATAGGTTACTATCAATTAATAGCTTCTCCATCTGTACAGGTGATTGACAACTAACAATTGGCTTGATCTTGATTTGAACGGAAGATCTCTTTGGTTTTGCTAAGTGTCATGTCTTGCATTATCTTAATGAATTAAGACCAATTCTATATTTTTTCAGTAATAATGATAGTGAAAATACTAAGTAATAAATGGTTTGTCACTATCACCAACAATTTCATAAAACTCACATATTCCTATTTAGATCAAACTACAGAACAAGGTACAATCAAAAAGTAATTGGGATGTCAAGGATAAAGCATATTCATAGATACTATTGGTACTAAATATTTTAATTGGAATATGAGACCAGTGCTAATGCGTCTGCATTATCTTTTGCATTTTGACTGTTGGTCCTTCTAAATTCCTAGTTTCTCTAGAATTAAAGTGAATTTAAGACTGACTTCACCAGCGGCATTATTCTGTACTGGACAGGTTCATGGTTTTAATTTAGTCACAGAGAACATTTGCCACCAGAAACAAGGCACTAGTTTTCTCTTTAACTTTTCTGGGTTCAAAAACTATGCACAAACATGAAGTGATTATTACATAAATATGTATACAGATATACAAAACCTAGCTTTGTAAAAATAATGAAATTTGAAAGTTATTGCAGAGAAACTGAACATTTGAAAATAGAAATACCTAGAAGACAAATTTCTAAAAAGAGTGTCTCACAGGGAGAGAGAGCCACCATTTTCTGGATAATATATATTTTCTGATGACATATTTAACTTGAGATGACAGAAGTCAGGAAAACATGCCACATGACCTCTTTAAAATGATATACAAAGCTGATCTTGCAAGATAAGACAAGAATCTGAGACAGCCAGGGTTTCTGCTCAACTACAGAATTTAAAATACTATGCTCCTTTGTTCTTGATAAATAGGGGTGGCTAACAACAGAGTGACATTTTTTGTTCCTAATTACTCCATCTGACCAGAGAGGCAGGTAGATGCCCTGCTTCTTTTCAGGCTGCCTGATTACCCTGACCTTATTTGACCACGTATAATATAGGTTGGGAAGAAAGGAATACTTGGGATCTAAAACTCAAACTACTTCTATATTGCACTAAAAATCCCTGACCAAAAATTCAATAACACACATTTGCCATGGTCAGTATCACAGACATTCTGCAAAGGACTCAGCCTATGTGACATACATGCCTATTGCCCACGAAACTGAAAGTGTTTCAATGTCATTCAACTCATCAAGGCATCATAAGAAGAGTTGGAATACACCTTTTACAAAGACAGAAGTGAAACTGAAGAACCTATGTCCAGTTCCACACTAGGAAATTAATAAAGCATAAACCAAACCGTTTTCCTAGACAGTTCAGATATGGTTTTGTTTTAATTATCTTGATATTACTTCGGTTCTTTACTACCCGTTACAAGGCACAACCAATCATCCTCTGCTAATGATTCCAGATAATTCTGATTTGGTGTTGAAAGAATAGTACAGGAGGTACTTGGTATTTTAACTCACCTTCAAATCAAGTGCCTCTAAGCACACTTTTAGAAGACCAATGGAGAAAGGGTAGGGACCTGCAAGGAATCCTTGAGGTTAAAGTATTTGTTTCCCAAGTGGGAGGTATCTCCTACTATTCCACAAACATATTTAAAAAGTGATTTTATTATGTTATGTTTATAAACAATGCCAGTCTACTTAGCCATGTGTTCCCCTGAGACAGCTTTCTATAAAGGATACTATTAATGGATTGCTGGTTCAATCTGCCTATGATGTCATTATTTCCAAGATCTTGAAAGAGACTATTTTATTTTGGGCGGCTGTAGGCTCTATTTCAAGAATTGTACAAAAGCACCATTATTCTCTAGGAACCCAATCAAAAAACTGTTTATTTTTAAAGTTCAACTGTTGTTGTTCATTTCTATAACAGTACAGAAACTTGTGAGTAGCACATTAGATACAGCCACGGGCCATTCATTTTACTTTTAGAGGTTGGCCCTTAGCATTGTGGAGCTAATTTTAATGGATAACCAGCAACGGTTTATATCTGCTCACAGACTGATTTCATACTTGACTACTAGGTTTTTCAGAGATAATTTAAACGGCTTTTGTAGATGGTGTATATTTTTGATTCAGCCCTTGGGACTTAATGTGGTTTAGCAATGCTCTGTAATTACACTTGCAATTCATCAGCAATAAGACATAAGCCTCTTGTTTCACGATAGGCAAGGAGTCTAAATACCCCTTTTCTTCAGAGTACTAAAAGAGATTACTTCTCTCTTTCCCTGTATCTTTCTCTCTCCCTTTCTCCCCACTCCCCACACAAGTTTGAAGGCATGTACACACAGGAGCACACATGAACACATACAGAGGGACCTTCATTAACTTGCCTTGACACAGAGCTTTATTGCAAAGCATTTTAGAGAAAAAAACTATTACCAAGATGCATGGTAACTACAGATTAAATGATTATAAATTAGAAACAATTGTCATTAGTCTCGCATTCCTCCAAAATGCATTCTCTTAACAAGTGAAGTGCCACAACTGGACACTCAGGGAATGCTGGGTAGGTTAAAAAAGAAAGCCACCACCAACTTGTGTAGATCCAGAAGTCAAGGGGAAAAATAGGTCATCAACTATACTCTAGCTAATGTGACCAAAATTCACACTATGACCTATGTGTTAGTTTGAATACAACCAAAAATGCCAATTGTGTCTCTTTGCTACAAGCACTCTACCCAAGTGTGTGAAGGATGAGAATCCAGAAATACTAGTTCTACAGTTTGAGGACCATCTATTAAGCCATGAGCAATTGAAATAAATATTTTTATCAGATATCATACCATCGGAGAAATAGAAACAACTATATGTCTGTATTATTTTGTCTGCTTTCAAAATAGGCATAACTATGTATTTTCATATTTTCCCAATGAAAACTAAATTAACACTGCCCTTCTTTTAAAAACAAAACTCCAGGTTAGCATATGTACAGTCATGATCTAACGAACCCAAAAGTAAATATCCAAAAGCACCAGCCACGCAAGGCCATTATCACAAATCTGAGCACACGCCAAGTTTGTTTAACACCCTTTTCATAGCAAATGAGAGGATCAAACATAGGACTGAGCTGTTCATTAAGGGAAATTTCCAAGGTGAATTTCCTAATATTTCTGAGATATATATATATATATCTCATATATATATATATGAGGGGTTACAAGAAACCTTGACTTGATGAGATGACAACCCTATAATAATGAACTGACATGAGCACATCTAAAAGAGGATGGATTTTAGGATTTCAAAGGTCAAGAACC